AAGAATTATATGTAATTTTATGAGTCAATCTTGGATAAGTTAAATTCGATATAAAAGAAAATATCCTTAACCTGATGAAGAATATATTAGAAGCTCTTCTTACCTGGCAGATTCATCACTCCACTCCCTGTGGGCTACTAGGACCACAGAACTTATGACTTGTCTCCATTTACTGATAGTATTTCTTTGTATTACATGTGTGTGTCCATGTGGGGGGAGGGGAGGAGAGAGATGCTGTTAAACATAAGTGAATAAGTGAAAGTAACCTTGAAAAAAAGAGAATATATCAGAAACAGCAAAAGTCACACTAAATGATGAAACAAAAAAGGCATTCCCATTGACTTCATGAACAAGACCAGAAGGCTCTCAAGCAGGTCAATTTAATATATGCAGAGAAGGAAAAAGGGACATAAATATTGGAAATGAAGAAATGAAAAATCATTATTTATAGATGATTATGTATAATCTGTACTTAGGAAAACCAAAGGTATTACCTAAAAACTATTAGAATTAATAGACAGATCATAAATATCAGCAGATACAAAATAAATATACAATAGTAGAACATTTTCCCTTAAACAAAATTTCCTATCAGAAATTGTAATTTAGGCCGGGCACGGTGGCTCACACCTGTAATACTAGCACTCTGGGAGGCCGAGGTGGGTGGATCACTCAAGGTCAGGAGCTCGAGACCAGCCTGACCAAGAGTGAGACCCCATCTCTACTAAAAATAGAAAGAAATTAGCTGGACAACTAAAAATATACAATTATAGAAAAAATTAGCCGGGCATGGTGGCGCATGCCTGTAGTCCCAGCTACTTGGGAGGCTGAGGCAGGAGGATCACCTGAGCCCAGGAGTTTGAGGTTGCTGTGAGCTAGGCTGATGCCACGGCACTCTAGCCCAGGCAACAGAGCCAGACTCTGTCTCAAAAAAAAAAAAAAAAAGAAATTGTAATTTAAAAAAAAAAAAATATATATATATATATATAACACAGACCCTCTAGGCCACTGTATTTGTTCTTAATATTTGGGGAAGGGGTCACAGACCCCTTGAGAAACTGATGAGTTCAATGACCTCCATTCATGAGAATAATGCATTTAACCATACATACAACCAAAAACAAAACCTTGCAGGTGAATACAGTTTCAGGTGGTCTCAGAGTTGGCCAGATGAGAACACCTACTCTGGGTTAATCAGTATGGTCAGTGGGGATTGTTCCTTGGGCCTGGGTATTTGGCTGAGGGGACACCAGGGTGGATGTGAACTGTCAGGCTGTGACTCTGCAGCAAGCTAGACTCTTTCTGGGTGCCCTGGAGGTAAGGAGGTAAAAGGCCCAGGAGGCTGCACCTCGAAGACCAGGTGGTAGTAGCAGACAGTATTAGGAGCAATGTTGACCAACCACCATGAATAAAGACAGACAGCAGGCAGGCCTGGAGCTTTCTCCAGTAAGCACTTCTTCAGGCTTCCTGGAAATCCTCAGCTGCAGGGTCAGGTGAGAACAGCATCCATGAGTTACCCCTGGAAATTTGAGGGAGGGAAGGAAGGAGCCAAAGGCATTTACCCAGGTCCCCACCTTGGTCACCTGCCCAGATATATTTTGGGAGTGACCAACTGAGTTGACCAACCTCCTGAATGGAGGGGATGAGAAGCTCTGGAATATAGGAGGGGGTAGGGGAGATCACCTTCCCCCACCCTCTCTACAGGGCAAGAAGGATTTGACCACCCTGTACCCTTCACACCCTTAGTTTCCTTGGCCTCATAGCTCTTCCTTTTGCCCAGAGCTGCATCGCTAAACTGGAACCTAATCCGGGGACAGGTGTTCAAAACTGTCATGGTTACAGCCATCAAATTACAGGAGGTTCACCCAGCAGTCAGCAATGGTTGGGAAATATTAAATAAATGTGCTTCTCTAACAGAACAAGACAGAATCATTTATTTATCCAACTTAAAAGGTGCCCCAGAAGGAGAAAAGGTAGGATATTATTTGTCCAAAATAAATAAGATTGGACAACTGAACATCTCTCTGTGGATCACTTTACAGATCATATGGAAATACGCTTATCTGGTTGAGAAATTTCCGTTTTTAAATGTTCAAATACCTTAGCATGTTCTGAAAACTATTTCCTATGTGACCAATAAAATCCATGTTCTATGCGGTAAAAATTAACCAAAAATTAATGAATGGTGCCTCCCAATGAAAGTGGGATGTCTTTTTTTTTTTTGACAAAACTTGCCTGCCCTTTTTTGTTGCTGTTTCCCATACTGAATTCTTGTTTTATTAGATTTTCTTACTATAAAAATAAAGAGTGGTGATAGTTTTAAAAAACAAAACAGAAGAGTATTCCAGACGTTCAGGCCCCCTCCCACTCCTTGTCTCCTTTCTGACACTCTGCCCCTTACCCACACTGGAGCAGGGAGAAGGACCCAGTGCAAGGAATATGGGCAGGGGGGACTTGGGGCTGGGGGATTGCAGGTGGAGAGAGGGAAGAGTGTACAATAGACCAGGAAAGGATGAGACAATTCCCCAGCACAAAAGTAAAAATTGTCAATAGCCCTCCGAGAAGATGCAGCCCCTCCTCCGTAACCAGAGAAAGGAAAATTCTCACAGCAGGGAGATGGGGCTACTTTTGGCCTCCAGGACTACAAAGACAAAAAATGAGTGACAGGACCTGATGTGGTGGGGTGAAGTGGAAGTGGGGATAAAGGAGGGGGCTCATATTCTTGGTGGGAGTGGAAATTGGGGACCCAAGATTACTGGCGATGCAGCCCTCACGTGACCAGGAGCTGACGTGGGCAAAGATACTTAAAGCCCTGACCGCAGTTCTCCGTCCTCCTCTGGGTACCAACTCTATCGCGCTGCGCACTGCCGTGCGTTTAACCTAGGCGAGGAGGAGGAGGAGGAGGAGGAGGAGAAAATTCCCCCAGATCCGGGCAGGTGGGTGTCAGGGCGGACACGGCCTGGGACCCCTGAATAGGGGTAGCCTAGGGATGCGGGCGTCCGAGGCCACGGGTGTCTCCGCCTCGCCAGCTCCTGGCCGGCTTTCCAGACTCGGGGCGCTCAGACGCAGCTCATTTTGGTGGGCGGCGGGGAGAGGGGGAGGGGGGACGAAAAGACTGATAGACTTTGAGAAGAATCCGCTGACTTCCTCTCGCAGCCAGTGTTTTCTGGTTTTGTTTTTGACATTCAGGCCCTGCACCCCACATCCCATCCTGTTTGGAGAGGAGGAGGGAAGAGAAATAAACGTGGCAGAGCATATAAGGCCAGCGGGGAGGTTGGGAAAGGGTGACCTGAGGGGCATGCAATTTGGAAACAATCTGGATCATTCAATCCCACCCTCACTTTGCAGACATCTCCCCCTACCATCGCCCCCTCACCCTCCCCTCCCCTGACCCACCCTCTGTCCTTTGAGGGAGCTGGGAAATGGATGTGTCAGCCTCTGTTGGAGAGATGGCGGGTTTGGTCCTGTCTGGGCTTCACAGGAGGGGGGACCCTGAGAGAATCTGGTATTAAATCGCTGTGCTAACTCCCAGACTGCTTTCCAGACACCTCCGGGCCACACAACCGTTCACTCACATCTTTTCAGTCCTGGAAAAAGAGTTCGGGTATGCAGGCGAGAGAAATGGCGGTTATCAGGGGATTTGGGTGGGGGGTTGAAGGCGGAGCCCGGAGCGGAGAAATCGTGGAAAATCACGACCCTGAAACTGAAAAGGCAGACGTTGGGGCCCCTGTTCTTCAGGCTTCTGCAGGTTAATGCTAGGCCTGGGGGCTGGGGAGTGAAGGACGGGCGATCCTGGGGGGGCACTGGATTGTTTGGCAGGAATCTCCCATGCTGCTTCCCATCCAGCTTTCGCTACACCCTCGCCCCGCCCCCTCCCTCTTCGGTGCAGGAGAAGGGGTGTGGCAGTGTGTCCCGGAGAAATGGCGGACGGGGGCGGGGCGAAGCGGAAGGAGGGGTTGAGTGGGGAGCCTGCGCAGGAAGGGGGGACTGGGGTGGGAGGGCTGAGAAGAGTTGAGGGAATTGAGGTAGAATCATTTGACGTTCTGGTCTGTGAATACTAAAAGGCAATTACTGGGACTCTTGTCCTGGGTGCTGATCCATCCACCAGGCCCTCTGTCTCCAACGTCTGCAGTCTATATTTCTGCCCTTCAGTCTGTCCTTAGGAAGAAGTTCTAACTGAACTGAAGGAAGGAGAAACAGCTCTGAATCCTTAGAGGTCAGTGTTGGGGGTGGGAATTGTCTGGGAACCACTGGTGTGGGTGTGGCTGAAACCAGAGCAGAGTCTGGGACCAGAGGCTTCTCCTCCTGCATCTTCTCCCTCTTTAAAAGACACCCTTGCCCCCAGGCCCTTGCTTTTGGGTGCAGAGAAAGGGGCGTGGCATCCACCTTCTTAGTTAGTAGGAGGAGGAGGAAAGGCTAGGAGGAAAAGAGGAGTCCTGAGAGGAAGAAACTTTTGACCCCCAGGGGTTCAAATCAGGAAGGGAACTGGAATCCATCCACCAAAGGTTCAATAACTCCCTTTCCATGATCTGTCCGCAGGTCTGTCTGCCTTTGGGGCTCTATACAACCACAGGAAAAGAGCAAACGGCTCCTGATCCCAGCAAGTTGGTATGTGCAGTGCATGAGTACGATGTAGGGACCTGGGAGTCGGGGGCTGGGGCATGAGAACAGAATCTGACATCTCTACTGTTTTTCCCGCTCTCCACCTGCTTACCCCATGTCCCTACTGCCTCTCATCCTCCCACTTAGGTGCTGGGAAGTTGTAGGCGTTGGAATTGGCAAGGCAGGCTAGAGTTGAAGATACAGAAAATTGACCGACTAGGTCTCTGAATCAGCAAACCGCAGGCCTCTGCACCTGTGTCTGAGTGCTAGCCCTCCCACCGAGCATTGTGTTTCCAAACTCTCCTCTAAGTGGGCCTGGTTAGACACGAAGTGAGCCAGAGCCCTTAAGCCTCAATTTTATCCTTTACCCCTAGGTCCTGCTCAGCTTGCAGCCTCTCGCAGAATTTGCAAGCCCAAGCTGAAGAGCCTCGTCCAGACGTGAACACATCCACTTGGGCAAGCCAGTTCTGCACCCTGGATCGGAAAATCACCCTAGCTGCGCCATGAGCCGTGTTCGGGATGCTGGCTGCGTAGCGGCAGGGATAGTGATCGGAGCTGGTGCCTGGTACTGTGTCTACAAATACACCAGGGGAAGAGACCAGACGAAAAAGAGAATGGTCAAGCCCAAGAACCGGGCTGTGGCTGGGACTGGAGCCAGGGCTAGAGCTGGGCTAAGGGCCGGATTCACAATTGACCTTGGGCCAGGATTCAGTCCCCCAACCCCAGTCAGCGCTGGGACAGAGGACAGAGCCCAGGATGAAGCCTCTGCTCTGAAGGCGGCTGGAGCTGAGGCAGTGGCCCCAGCTGCATCCAGCATTGAGGTTCAGAGTGGGGCAGGAAGTCGGGCCCCAGAGGCAGATGGGGCCAGGGTTGGGCCTAAGACCGAATCAGTAGTTGGGGCTGCAGTGGCTTCTGCAATAGCACCACCTCCCGGGGTGGCAGAGGCTCCCGCAGCTGCAGAGGCCCCTGTAATGACAGGGACTCCCAAAATGGCAGAAGCCCCCAGCACAGGGGAGGCTCCCAGGGCAGCGGCACCTCCCAGGACAGTGGCACCTCTTGGGACAGTAGCCCCTACTGAGGTGGCAGCACCCATTGAGGCAACTGAGGCTCCCAAGGTGGCAGCGCCTACCAGGGTGGCAGCACCTACCAGGGTAGCAGCGCCTACCGAGGTGGCAGAGGCTCCGGGAGTGGCAGTGCCTCCCGAAGCAGCTGAAGCTCCTGTGCCCACAATGCCTACTGGGACAGCAGCACCTACTGGGGCTGCAGAGGTTCCTGGGACTTCAGGGTCCTCTAGAACAGCGGCAGTTCCTGGAACTGCTGCTGCCAAGAAAGCAACCCCTGGGGCTCACACTGGGGCTATACCTAAGGCCGGGTCAGCGACTGGAGCTGTACCCAAAGGTGGAGCCAAGGGTGGAACCAGGTCCCGAAATGGGGGCAAGGGCAAGGGCAAGAAAAGCAAGGTTGAAGTAGATGAATTGGGAATGGGCTTCCGACCTGGAGATGGGGCTGCAGCAGCTGCTGCAGCCTCTGCTAATGGGGGACAAGCTTTCCTGGCGGAGGTCCCTGACTCTGAGGAAGGGGAGTCCGGGTGGACTGACACAGAGTCGGATTCAGACTCTGAGCCTGAGACCCAGCGCAGAGGCAGGGGCAAAAGACCTGTTTCAATGCAGAGGCGCCCCTTTCCTTATGAAATTGATGAGATTCTGGATGTCCGAGATCTCAGGAAAGTCCTTGCCTTGCTTCAGAAATCAGATGATCCTTTCATCCAACAGGTAGCTTTGCTCACCCTGAGCAACAATGCCAATTATTCATGCAACCAAGAGACAATTCGAAAATTGGGAGGCCTCCCAATTATTGCAAACATGATCAACAAAACTGATCCCCACATTAAGGAAAAAGCCTTAATGGCCATGAATAACCTGAGTGAGAATTATGAAAATCAGGGCCGGCTTCAGGTATACATGAATAAAGTGATGGATGATATCATGGCCTCTAACCTGAACTCAGCAGTACAGGTAGTTGGACTAAAATTTTTAACAAACATGACGATTACTAATGACTACCAGCACCTGCTTGTCAATTCCATTGCAAACTTTTTCCGTTTGCTATCTCAGGGAGGTGGAAAAATCAAGGTTGAGATTTTGAAAATACTTTCGAATTTTGCTGAAAATCCAGATATGCTCAAAAAACTTCTCAGTACCCAAGTGCCAGCATCATTTAATTCCCTCTATAATTCTTACGTGGAATCAGAAATTCTTATTAATGCTCTTACCTTGTTTGAGATCATCTATGACAATCTCAGAGCAGAAGTATTCAATTACAGAGAATTTAATAAAGGTTCCCTTTTTTACTTATGCACTGCATCTGGAGTGTGCGTTAAGAAAATTCGAGCCTTAGCAAATCACCACGACCTCTTGGTGAAAGTGAAAGTTATAAAACTAGTGAACAAATTCTGATTGGCTATGTGCTCTCAAAAGACTTGAAGAAATTTCTTGGTTTTGCAGTCTGGAAGCGTTGAAAATTGAAAGTTACTGCTTTTCCACTTGTTCATATAGTAAAGGGATCCTTTCAGCTGCCAGTTTTGAATAATGTATCATCCAAAGTGATGTTATCTGTGACAGTCACCTGCTTTAAGCTGAACCATTTTATGAATACCAAATAAATAGTCCTCTTGTACTGAAAACACATTTGTGACTTTAATCGTGCTGCTTGGATGGAAATATTTTTACTGATTTCTCTGTAACTTGACAGTGAACCTGTCCATCATGAATGGCCTACTCTTCTATTATTTGTTTCCACTTGAATTTATCCACCAAAGATCTCATTTGTGTATCATCAATAAAGTTGTATGTTTCAACTGACAAAAAAATTGTTCTGATGCTTGAATTTAAAACCTAGCTGGAGAGATAAGGTACACAAACACAAAAGGATTGCTAACAGTACCCTGGCATATGCTCATTGTCAAATATATGCTATCTGGTTAAATGAAGCGGACGTTGCTGAGAAAGCTTCACACTTAAGGGCACACTTAAGCTGGGCCCTGAAAGACAGCATAGAAGGGCATTCCAGAAGGGGAAAATGGTTTGATGAAAGGCACCGAGGTGGGAAATCTGCTCCTATGATAGGAAAGAAGCCAGTTTGCCTGGAATAGAAGCCATGGGAAGAGGAGCAATGAGAGATAAACATGAAAATTCAGGGTGAGGAAAGTTTGAGGAAGATCCTGAACCCCAAGCTGAGATAATGAGACATTATCCTGTCATATTTTGGGAGTCACTGGACATTTTTGACAAATGGAAAAATAATCTGGTGGCAATGTGCAAGATGGATTGGAGTTGGGGTGGGGTTAGGGGTGGAGACCGGAAATGAGGACACTTGTTAGAAAGTTAGAATAAACCAAACATGAGATGATGTGGGGCGAAATGGGGTGGCAACTAAAGGAACTGTTAAGGTATGATAGTAATAGGAGACTCTTACAAAAAAAAACAAAACCAAAAGGACCCAGATCTGCTGTTTGACACTTGGTTGTGGGGCAATAAAGAGGAAGGATTGTGTGACCCCATGTAGGTCCTGACAGGGAAGGGCCCTCTTTTGGGGGCAACTGTGGGGACAGCGCAATGCCAAAGTGAGTCACCATTTGGAATGAGAAAAAGCAGTGTGGCAGAAAGAATGATTCTTGGCACAGACCGGTGATTGGTTCCCTAGGGTTAGAGGTCTAGGTCAGCCTTCTTTACGAAGGGGGAGTGGTGGGGCCTTTGTGGGGTCACCACCCCAGTTCACTTAAGAGCAGGTGTACCTTCCTTCCCTCTCTGGCACACCGATGCAATGAAAAATGAAAATGGGAGAAGTCCCAGAGATTTTCCAAACCAGCCTGCTTTCCTGAAACCCCTCACAAAGTCATTTTTGTGTAAGTGTGTGGTAGGCTGTGGCAGGGATAGAAATAGGGACTCCTGGAAGGAGGGTATATAGAAAAGGGAAAGATAGGCCTTAGATATTGATACAACTTATCTGGAGAGCAATTTGGTAATATTCATAAGAAGCTTGAAATATCTACCTATCCCTCAGCCAAGTATTCCACTTGGAGGTTTTTTTTCCTAAGAAAACAACCAAATAAGTGTACACAGAGAAATATACTAGGCTGTTAATTTCAACACTGTTTCTAAGAGAGAAAAACTAGAAGCAACTTAAATATCTAACACTATGGAATTGGCTAAACAATAGACAGTATGTTCATGAGGTAAAATACTACACAACTGTTAAAAGTAAGAGATCTATTGTACAGCATGTTGAATATAGTTAATAACAGTATATTATGTACTTAAAAATTGCTAAGAGAGATTTGAAGTGTTCTAACTACAAAAATGTGGTAACTATATGAGATAACACATATGTTAATTAACAATGTATACATATATCAAAACATAATTTTGTATCCCATAAATATATATAATTTTTATTTGTCTGTTAAAAATAAATTAAAAAAAACATTCACTATATGTAACGGCTTATGGCATCAGTCAAAAAGGTTCACACAGTTGAATCTAGGTGAAAATTCTTTCAGATGTTTATTATGTACAACTCTGCATTTTTTACATAGAATTGGAATCATATTGTACATCAGTGGTTCTCAATGTGTAGTCCATGGACTACTGCAAGTCACTGAAAATATAAGGTCAAAACTATTTTCAAAACAATACTAACAAGTTATTTACTGTTTTCACTGGGTTGGCATTTGCAGTGATGGTACAAAAGCAGTGGCGAGTAAAACTGCTGGTGCCTTTGCATGGATTAAGGCAATGTCCCAAAACTATACTAGTAGTGATTGCATTCTTTACAGCTACAGATAATTTTTTTAAATCCAATTTCATTTTAAAATGTCTTTAATAAAATCCTTATTTATAATAAAAGCATAAGTTTTACTAAATCTCAATGTTTTTTAATATTCTGTGTGATGAAATAGGAAGTATGCACAAAGCATTTCTACTGCATAGCTTAGGACAATGGTTGTCTCTAAGGAAAATATCCGCATAATCATTTGAGTTACGCAGTGAATTAGCTGCTTTTCTTATGGAACATCATTTTACTTGAAGAATGACTGGCAAACTATGGTATTTCAGACTTGGGTATCTGGCAGACATTTTCTTGAAAATGAATGAAGTGAGCCTTCAAGGGAAACAACTGACGGTATTGGTCACCAACAATAAAATTTGAGCTTTCAAATAAAATTAGAATCTTGGAAAACTTGCATCCACAACCGTAAGTTGAATGTCTTGTAATACTTGGAGATTTTTCTGAAGAGATCAGTGGTGATAATAATGAAGATGATGGCCTTTTTTTCTTTTTCTCCTTCTATGGGAGAACCCTAGGGCCTAATGTTGATCTTGGTTTAAGATCAAATGAGACCATTGCAACCCATATGACATTGTGCCTATGGCCATTTAATAAAGAATACCCTTGCTATGGCAACGAGATGACCCTGGATGAGGCTAGACCCAGGAATTTTTGAACCCTACTAAGAAGAACCTGAAAAGATGTCAGTCCTGGAAGAGTAATGTCTTTTTCTGGGTGAGATAGAGGTAGCATTTGAGCTCATATATAGAAAATGGATGCATCAGCATCTCTTATCTTGATCCCAGCTATTCAGATAACCCAACCAACTTCCTTTGCTCTGATTAACAGCAGACATTTCCATCTCTTTCAGATGAAACCTATCCCCATACACAGGTGTGTAGTCTGACCTAATGAGTGAGCTCAGAATCACACAACAGGCAAATATTGCTTTTCGTAAAGTCTGGGGGTTTTTTGTCTTACATCACATCATGTGTGAAAGAACAGCAGCATAGTCCAGGCGTGGCTGAGACTTAAAAGAACACTTCTTTGAAAGGTGTAACTTAGTAAAATAATAACAATAGGCACCAGGAATTGAGTATCAGCTATGTAGTGTTCTATTATTCCTGAAATGTGACTGTTGAAACATTCTTTAGACATTCTGTACTATGGTTTTTATCTTATATGTTGTGTGTCCAGGGCATGAGTGAAGTGGTACAGTTCTCACAACTATGTTTACACTGAATAATCCTGCTTACCTTGCTTTAATTTATTGGTCTGGGTAAACAATTGGATCAGGAATCAGTCATGTTCTCTCTCTTTTTTTTTAAAGAGTATGATCCAATAAATGCAGACTGAGAACACAGGGCTGTCACGTTAGTGGCAGAGCACAAGGATGAGGTGATACAATCTCCTGCTCTCAGGGTCTCTGGAGATGCATTTGTTTCCACCTTTTACCAGGCCAGATTATTCAACTTTTCCATTACTTGCAGGATATTATCACATATCTTTCCTTAAATCCCCTCTTTGTGCTTGAGCAAAAGGCTACATACTAAGAATAAGACCAGAAATGGGGTGGTAAGCAATAGGGTCCCAAGAAAACATGGGATATTTGAGTTGAGGTGGGCAAAGTGCAAATGGCACTTCCTTCCACACTCTGAGATGGAAAACTAACAGCCTACAATTAACTGAGAGGGCTTTCTCTCTGACGATTGGTTCTAGGCAACAAGGTAGTTGCTTCTATAGAACAATTTCATGGGGAAGAGAAACTGAGTGGGATCAGACATTTGCTTCTAAGGACATTGAAAAACATCCAGTGAAAACAATGAGTAGGCTTGAATATGGAATTTAATGTAAAAGATCAAATAGAGCAATTAAGGAATCCTACTCCAAGAATCCTTTTCCACTTAAAGCTGTCAGACAGAAATGTCTTGAAGAATGAGTTTAGAAATTAGTCTTGGCTGTTACTTAATTGTAATATCAGTTGAATTTACCACCTTATCAGGTTTCTTTAGTGAAAGTGGGAACACTGGTAACCAAAGTAAGTGATCTGGGAAATCCTGAGTCTTTTTAGGCTTTTTGAAAATAGTTACCATTGTGCCCTGCTTATAAAGAAAACAGCAATTTGTCTCATATGCTCCCACTGAGATTCATATTTTGAAATATGAAAATACCTTAGGTCTGAGGGTGATATTGCAATATTAGAATGAAGAAGAGAATTATAGATTTTGAGCATGCCTAAGAACATGAGTTTAGATCACTCCAAATTAATGGCAGTTGGAGTTCTTATCTATTAATAATATACTGATTAGGTCTAGACTTAAGTCAGATATGAATGTAAAATTTCAAGAGTGATCACTAAAAATAATAAAAATAGAGTGAATAATATCTAAAGCAGTAAAGAAAACAATGCACTAAGAAAAAATATTTTAATACAAAAGGTGAAAAATGAGACGAGAGAAGCCTCCAAAAAGCAAGACAAATAGAAAGGACATAGTTCAAGTGTATTCTTAATCACAGTAAGTGAAAATAGCTAAACTTACTAGTTAAAAGATATTATCAGATTTTTAAAATCTAGCTACGTGCTAAAGAATAAGCCTGCAGAAACTTAGAAAGCAAGATTGAAAAAGTTATACCATGCAAACACTAACCAAAAGGAAGCTGAAATAGCC